CAATTAGTTGCTTATTTTACAGTGTTGACTTTTATTGTGGGGAGGCGGATTCCTAATTCCCACTCGTCTATTCCGTGCTACCAAGAGGAACTGGACTTGGGTCTGGCTGACTGTCTCCACTCTATTCCTGTGTAGGATATGAGGACACTCTTCCCTGGTACTTTTCTAAATTCAGTCAGGTCACATTTCACAGAGGGCAGATGGCTTGGTGTCAGGCAGCAGCCCCCTCCCTCCTTCCTGCCTCAGGTAGCCTCTGGGCCGGTGTCCCTGATGCTATAAAGCAGGGCTGGATTGGCTTGCTGTGGTGCAGGTCTCTGTGGCCCTGGGGTCTGGGGGGGAGGCTGGGCTGGCAGGCTTCCTCCAGGCACTGTAGTTGTGCAGGGGTATGTGGGTGGGGGATGGGGTGCGGGTGGGGTGGGGGTGGGAGTCCTGATCAGGATCCTGCAAGGCTTGCTTCTTCACCTGAAACCCTCAAGGGATCAGAACCTGAGGCAGAGAGGCCGTAGTGACAGTGTTCTGTTCTCAAAGGAAGGGTGCTCACACCTTCAGGGAAGATTGTGAGTGGGACCTGGGTTCTACTGGGTTCTGACCAGCCTGTATTTCGTGAACTCACTCTAAGTCCCCACAGTACCCAAGTACTCCACCCTGCCTGTGGCCCCATGTCTACAAAGGTGACCATGGTAACTGAGGGACAAACATCTTACCTGTAACATACTTACACCTTTCTAGCTTGCTTCCTCCCTCCGTCCCTCGTCCCTCCGTCCCTCCGTCCCTCCCTCCTTCCCTCCCTCCTTCCTTTTCTCCTTCTTTTTCTCACACTTTCTGTACAAGGTTAGACCTTTTTTGTTATTGCTGTTAAACTGGTTTTCAACCTAATTTTGAGCTGCCCGTCTGTGGTTCCTGCCTGTCTCAGTACAAGTGTTTTGTTGTATCTGGTACTCTGACACTTCAGTGTGACCAGACTAGAAGGTGGGTGGCTTTGCATCCACCTCCTCCCCAGGGCGACAGCAAGGTATGCAGAGCTGGTGACATGGTTCTGTTTTTATTGAAGGGAAATGTCAAGAGACCTCAGGGTCCCGTATTCTCAGCAGGTCTGTGTAGGCTGGGGAGAGGAGGCAGTGAGGGGTGGCTTGGCTGGTTGAACAGTTGGATGTGGGAGAATTGCTGCCTCGTGGATTGGAGAGCCCTCTAGCCCAGATCTGTGCTGTGCAGGTGTGCAATAGAAAAAGCAGGAGATGGAGGCCTCCCCTACAATCTCCCCAAGCTTTGGATGCCTTTGGAGTTGCACACTTTTCTTGCCCACCATGGGGATCTCTGGAAAGGGTCATCCACTGACCCTTTGCATTTCTACTTTGGGGGGTTGTGAAGACAACCCCAGTTCCTGGGCTTTACCCTCAGAGTTTCCAAACTAGAAGACCCAGGGGGAAGCTTGTGAGTTTGCATATCTAATGCATCCTCAGGTGATTCCATTGCTGCTGCCGAGAAAATGGTCTGGTCTGGAGACCTGCATTGAGAAGCGCTTGCTGTCCAGGGCCAGGCTGGCATGCCTGAAGGACCGTGGCTCTGGGTTGTTTCTGGTGAATGCAGCTTTTCAGAGGCCCTTGCCGTTTACCAGTGACTGCACAGCAGGGCTTTCTGTAATTTTGGCCTCTCACAAAGCCAGTCAGGCTACATAAATCTGTTGAAGTGTCCATGAGGTTTCGTTCTTTGAAAAAATAATTTTTATCTAGCAAAAATGGAGAAACAAGGGCGTGGGAAGATGAGACCAGAAGATGACTAAGGAGATCAGACCTTTAGCTGCAGACCCTTTGCCCGTTTGTACCTTTGGTATAAATGGAGGCAGTTCCTAGAGGTACCTAAGGATTATTAAAAGGTGAGCCAATGTGCAAGATCCTCGAGCCTCTGGTATTTGAATTACTTATGAACATCTGGCCATTCCAGGACACTTAGCCTGTGAGGACCAGGATGCTGGGCGGAAAGCTGGGCAGGACAGTCGAGCTGGACTTTTTGGGCTCTGCTGGGTCAGTAAGAGATGGCCTTGGCATATCCTTCTGAGAGGACCGATGCCAAGCTTGAGTGAAAACACACATCAAGGATGCTCTGGCAGATGGGATGCTGTACTCAGTGGTGGGTGAGAGAGGCTGGGTGTCAGAGCAGCTCTGGGAAAGACTCGGGCTCTGCTGCCCGGGGACTGAAAGCCTCCACACAGTCCACAGTCACTTTCTGAGTCAGGTGTAGCTAATAATGATTCATGGAGCACTTTGTAAAAGTTTCTCAAGGGAGTCTCCCACCCCCAAAGGCTCTATATCTGCCTGGAGATAATGGCTGTAGCTCTGGACACAGGAACCCTGATGAGAAACAAGACAGATGCGGGGGTGGGGGTGGGGGGGGTGACAAGGGTTTGTGTCTCATTCCCTGCATGGACACCGCTAGCCTGGACTGCATTTCTGGTCCCCAGTGAACACGTTTGTCTTCAGTATGGTGTGTGTGGCCCCCAGACTGTTCAGAACATCTTGGGGGAAAATAAAGGTGTGTGTCCATAGTGGTGGTGGTGGGGTGCTAATAGTGACTATTGAAGATCCCCAAGAACAGCAAAGCTCACCAAAGCAGAGAATAACATGGCCCCACGTGTGACCAGGTCCCCCCTTCAGGCCCATCCCAATTCTGGAGGCTCATGCGTCATCTCTAACCACTCTTAGTGTCCACTAGATTATGGAAGCCATTCTCGAGTTTCACTTAGCATTCAAAACAAACTTCTTATAGTACCTGGATGGACTTGCCTGGGTTTCTCCAATGTTAACTAGGTAGTCACCCAGTATGGGGTCCACAGGAATTGGGTTCCTCCATGCAAAAGCTCCCAGGCCAGCTAATCTAGGCCTTGTAGTAGGGAGCTGGAATTCAGGAAACTTCTCAGCTTTGGCCACTAGCCCATGGGAACTAGGTGGGAAAGACCCAAGCCCCAGTCCAGCTGTGCCCCTTCCAATGTGACCTTGGGAAGGGTGTCCACTTCCTCCTTCTGTATGCCTGGCCTGCTATGTCTGTAAGGCCTGACCACCTCGGGCAATTTCTATACCCAGCTTGGCTGGGTGCGCCATGTTGTAGCTGCCTGGGCTGTTCCATCTGGGTCCTGCATCCCACTCGGAAGAGGCAGGCTGGCGAGGATCGGGCACGCAGCTGCCTCTGCTTCGCTGGTAGAACCAAAGGAAGCCGGTTTCCCCTTCCACCCCTGTCAGCCACTGGTGCGTCACTCAGTTCCTGTTTCTCTTTGCCCACCCAGGAAGGCGCTGCAGATGAAATCCTGGGCCAGATGGCGGATACTGTGAGCCTGGTCAGAAAATGCTGGCTCACAGGACACAAAACGGGAAGCTGGTTTTCCCAAGAGATTCACTGCGGGGACGGGGGTGGGGGCTGTTCCTCCTGACTGTAGGTGTCACACAGCCCAGGTTCTTCAGCTTCCAGAAAGTTCCCTGCTGCCACCGCCAACAGGGGCCTTTGAAGGGATGTAAAGGCACTAGATCATCACAGTTGCCAGTATCAAGAGGATCGAGCCCCAGGGCAGCTTTGCTATTAGTGACCTGCAGCCCAGAGAGGGTCCTTAGAAGAAGGCCAGTCAGGCGTCAATGGCTGGGCAAGCTGCCCTCCGCAGGACTTCCTAACTTCGTGCAGCAGCAGCAGCAGCAGCAGCACACATGTTGGGAAACACACAGTACACCAGTCTGAGCTGCTCTCCCTGTCTCCTACTTTCCATGTCCTTTGTCCACCAAGCATTGTGGAGGAATCTCTTGGGGCAGGATGGAGCTATTCCCAAAACCGTACACTCCCTCCACTGATGTTGCAGAAAAAAAATGTGAGTCATTAACAAAAGGCCCCCGGGAAGTACAGGATCCACTGTTGCTCAGGGTGAACCCAGGGTGGTATCTTAAATAGGCCGTCTGCAAAAGGGCCAGGGGGCCAGGGGGATGTCCCAGGAAGCTTTGAGTGGTACCACCTTCTCAGCTGTCAGCGGTGTTGTTCAGAATCACAGCTGGAAACAGTGGGCAGCTGAGAGTTGACCTTCCTCCCATGGGAGTATTGTCCCCAGCCATCTTGTGGAAAAACTGCTGGTGTGTGTGTGTGTGTGTGTGTGTGTGTGTGTGTGTGTACAGCAGATTTGAGTGTGCAGAGCTGGCTTTGTGGGTCTGCAGCATGCCCTTTGGGGGCGTGGCACCATCTGCCTCTCTGTATCTACTCTGCCTTTGGAAATACCCTTTCACTTGTTTGGGAGAGCTGAGAATGTGATCTGTAAGCAGGGTGCATCTTGGGAGGCTGACCACAGGGGCCTCAAGCAACAATGCAGTTATTAATAGAACCATGGTCTTTCTGGAACTTTTGTTAGCTTTGAACTGTCCTTGCAACCTCTGCTTGGTTGTGTGTTTGTGTGTTTGTGTGTGTGTGTGTGTGTGTGTGTGTGTGTGTGTGTGTGTGTGGCAGGGGGTGCGGGGGTGGAGTGTCTCATTTTTTTCCTTCTCTCAAGTGAGCCCACAGCTGTGATCTTCAGAGTCTCAGAGAAGAGAGGTGACCAGGGGCTCTGCACCTCCAGGAATTGGAATTCCTTGCTCCGGGTCTTTGGGGGTGGAAGCTCAGGGCATCACCTGGGGGTCTTCTAAGTCCTGTGTGAGTCTCTGGCAAAATCAACAAGAACACACACAGAAGTAGAGCCTCAAAGCTCACTGGGCATCAGACCCCATGGGGAAATCACAACAGGGTGGCCCCGTATAAGCCAGCGAGATTTCGGTACTCTTGTCTTTCTGATCTCCCCCAAATGGTTTTTAGAAGGTTGTCATACCTTACCACCACCCTTCGATTTCCGATATCACTATGTGAATAGATGTGTTATTGATTTGACCCTCTGCTCACAACGGCGTTTATGATCTGTCTCCCTTTTCGGTTTCCATGTACTGGAGGGCTGTCTCGGTGCGGTTGGCAGTGACCTATGTTTTTCTTGCATATTTTTGTTTCAGAATAACTGGGAGCTGAAACAGGAAGCCCCATGACACAATTGATCGAAAATGACACAGACACAGAAAAACCAGGACGTGCCCCCAGCAGCACCTTTACCTGCTGCCTGCTGATCGCAGCTAGAAGGCAGGTGAAGGGTTTCCCCCCGGGAATGGCCTGTAACTCCGGAGAGCTCTGGCGGACCTCTGTGCTCACTGGTGAGGGATGGGCCTACAGTATTTTGGTGATAGTCTTCTTCGGTTAGTTTCCCACTTCTTGGGCCCTCATGTCTTGATCTTTTCTTCATTAAAGGCAAAACTAAAGAAAATGGACTAGTCTGTTAATTAGCTATACAGACACACTGATTAAGGACACTAAGCTTGAACTTAAGGTAACTTTCTCCAAGGTTACATGTCAAGATTGTCATAATCACATAGATCACCACGGCGGGTTTCAAAGTGTGTTGAGCATGAATCTCAGTACTCAGTCATGTTTGTTCCGCTTTTTATTCCTTTCTAGAAGATCTCTCTGGAGTCACTGTTGGCAGGCCGACAGTTGAGAGCCTTGGGATCTGTCCATGTCTGTCCATGTTCATCCTGGTCACAGGTGATAACTGGCCTAGATAGAGATCGACCTCAACTTTGAGCTACAATGGGAAACTCCCCCTTTCTCTGCTTCCCTGCTTTCTCTACGCCCCCACATACCTCACTGATTTGCAGATTCAATCCATAATAAATTTCTTATGGGGCCTACTGTGTGCCATGTTCTGGAGACAAGATGGGATGGCCTCTGTTCCCATCTCCTTGGCATGTGTAGCCTACTTATAAGTAGGCTTGGCTCAAGAAGTGAAGAACTGTGTATATCCTGGATGTTTCATCCAGGTGTCCTGATTTCCCAAAGCCATTACTCAGATCCTATAACTGGCACTTGCATATCCTCTGAAATGGTTAAATGGCCAGTCACCCCTTCTACAGAGTCCTCTCTCTTCTCATCCCCAACTGTAAGCTGAACACACTCACCATCCTGGGAATGTCGCCAAAGAGGCCATTTGTAGTCACCTTCCAAGAGTCGATTAGTTTTCACTTACAAGCTTAGCAGAAATCCAAGAATAACTCAGTGGCTGTGCTCACTACTTGATACTCTCAACATCAGTTTGCTAATTGGTCATGGGGCTCATCACAGAGGCCCTGGGTGAATGGCCCAGGGATATTGTCCCGTTCTCACCCAAATGTTGAGACTCTGGGAAGCATCCCTGAATACCAAATTCCGAGAGACACCTTCACCCCTTCCATTTCGTGTCTCTTATTTTCTGCAGAGTATTAGAAGTGACCATTGTTGTTTGTCTATTGTCTGTGTGTCTCACTGTCCTCCTCAGTTTCCTCTTTATGGAGGCAGATGTGCTGCTTTATCCCCAAGATTGTCCACAGCATCTGGCGCTCAGTGCAGCAGACATGTGTTATCCATCATCTTGGTGCTTCTCAACAACAGGTGTATCTACATTCTAACTGCATGGTGATGCTAAGCCTCCATCTCTGCAGCTGGTTGCTGGAGCAGTAGGATGAGAACCCAGGCCATCCTCCATCCCCTGCTCAGCAGGAGTGGTGGGACACAAGCCCTCCCTGATCTTCATACCCAGATGCTCATCAGAACCAATCTTATCCTTGCTTATCTGTTCTCAAGTCCAAGTTTGTCTGATTATGTTCCTGGAAAGTCAAAAAGCACTGAGTTGTGGAAGAAATAAGTTTTCAGTGGGGTGTCTCTAGCAGCGCCTTTCTTCAGCAGAATGCCTGGAGAATGTCTCCTGTGCTAGGTGCATTTGTTTGGGCTCTAGCAGAGAAGGAAGCAATGTGGAAGGGCCACACAGGAAGTGGAGATAAAGTTCCAGGAGGTGACAAGGAGCTCAGACCCAAACATAGGCTTGTGCATGTGCCCTGCAGAGTTATATACATTTAATACAACTGCTAAGACAAGACTGAGCAACACTGATTTAGGACCACCTTGTCTGTTATTGTATCCTTCAGCTGATGTGGCCCCTGAACTTTTAATATTACTGAGGATCTGATCTTTTAATTCCTTTCGACTTTAATTTGTATAAGCTGAGTGTCTCCTATGGCTGCAGCTGTTATAATGAACAATTCAGAAGGGAATATATACCTACATATATACCACAAAAAGGCAATGTCATGAGGAGTACAGGAGCTGGCCCCGCACATGGGAGCGGTGAGCCCTTAACTGGAAGAGAAACTCGGGTGGACATGGAAAGAGTCTGAGCTAGCTCTCTCTATTGGTTAACTTTGCAAAGGCCTGCCCTCCTACCTCAAGCATCTATCTAGATTCTGAGCCAGGGTTTGAGCAGCAGCAAAGGAAGCATTCCCTGCACCAGATGATTGAAAAGAACTTAAAATTTCCTGCAAAGAGTCCAAGGCCTGTCCTTTGGTATTCGTTCGAGACAATTCTTGCATCTGCCTCTTTGGAGACCCCGTCATAGAGAGGGAGCCTTCTGAACCTACACATGTAATTACTGTAATCCAAGAATTTTAGCATTTTGGGAGAAGAGAGGTAGAAATGCTGCCACCATAAGGATTCGGCAGTTTTTGAAATGGGCCCCACATGGTGACTCACAACCATCTGTAACTCAGTGGATCCAACGCCCTCTAATGGCCTCTGCAGGCACTGCACTCACCTTGTGCACATACATACATGCAGGCAAAACACTTACACACAGAAAATTTATGTAATTAAAAAATAGTAATGGCTCAGGGAGAGGGCTGAGCCAGCTCTACCAACGTGGGGTTAGAGATGTAGAGAGAGAAGCCAAAGCTGAATCATTTTCTTCTTATCACTCAGAGACTGTCAGATTTCTTTCTATTTTTTTTTTTAAGTTGGAGGGAAAGCACCTTAGACAGAGAATAATACTATTTAGAATTTCAGAGCTTTCCCTTTTTAAGCACTTTATCATCTTGGGTTTATTTTGCTCTCATACTGAGGCGCCCTCAGATCTGCAGGGGAGGGATTCAGAATGTCACTCGAGCATCCCTAAAAGAAGTTGAGTCTTAAGGAAAGAATTAAAAGGTGACAGTTTGGTTTTTCACATCCTTGGCCACACTCAAATGCTTAGTGTCACAGCTGGGAGAATTTTTTTTTTTAACCCGTACACAGGTTGTGTTCTTAAGCAACCTGTCCATGGAGTGTTGTGTTTCACCGTGGCCTTCTCATCCTCAGTCCTTGAGTCAGATGTTTCTTCCTCAGAGCTCTGTGTGACCTGCAAGTCTGGTAAATATGCCTCCTGTGTCTCCCCACAAGTCATTTTAAAAAGTGATAGATGGTATAAAGCACAGGCAAGATAAAGCCATGCTGGCCTCAGGGAAGATCATGCCTCTCAAGACATCCCTGGCGTCCAACCTCTGGCTCACGCTGTCCCCACTCACCATCCTGGTGGGGAGAGCGGCCGTCTTTCCAGACCACACCTGACTGAGGAAGGAAGCACTGGAGAATGTGGGATCTCCTGAGTGGCCTAGCCAGCAGGTCAGCAGGAGTGACATGAGGTTTGTGAGTTGGTTTTCTCTAGGGATGTTTTGTCTGGGCAGCTGTGGATCCTAGTCTCGCCGACATCTAGCCCACCTCAAACCATACATAGATAGGATAGGAGGAGAGGTTTTTCAAATGCTTTACTGAAAGTAAGACACACTTTCTGGGGCATTCCCCTAATCGCCTGTGCTGGTGAAGCTCGTCAAAACAGGAAATGAGGTTAGCATGGAATGACTTTCTCTCAGAGAACTTATGTTGCCTCCTAAAGACCACCAGATTCTTCCCAAAAGCTTGTGGTCCAGCTTCCCTCCTTCCCTGGGCTTCCCCAGAAACGGGAGAGTGCCTGGTCTCCTGCAGACTTTTAGAATGGGTTCCTCTGGGAAACACTTGTTCCCGGTCTTTTGACTCCTTCCTCTCCCTCCCAGGTCAGCATCTCTGAAATGTTTGCAGGTTGGCGTGAAGCTAGATCTGCATATATGCCAACCACAGCAAGGCTGTGGTTGAGCCGAGGGCTCCGCGCACATCTGAGGCGGAAGGGTTCACATGCGGCATGGGCTTTGGGCAGCTCTTTCCAGAGCAGAACTCTTTGATTCCATGTTTTCACAAAGATGCCGGAAAGAGAAAGCAAACCCAGGATGGTGGGGGCGGGGGGGGGGTTGAAAACTTCCAAGGGAGCAATTTCTTCTCCTTCCCTGCTCCATAGGGGACATTTCAAGGCAGAAGGAGCTAGGCTGGCTCCTTTCAAATGAAGCCCACTGAGTTCTTTGATGAAGTGTCAAGAGTGATGAGGATCGCCTGGTTATCTTTGCTGAGGCCTCCGGCAAAGGGCTCTGGTTGAACTTTCTAGAACCACGTATCTTTTCTAATACTAAAGTACTTTTGAGATCAGTTTGCCTTTATGCAGTTGAGGGAACGTGTGGCCTTGACTCACAATGACTAAGGCAGACGGTAGTCTCCAAATACTAGACTCAATTTACCTCTCGGCATCAACCCGCCCACTCTCTGGGTTCTCACTTCTGTAATCATGGGCGTGTTTCTTTTTATACTTGATTTAGCAGGATCTCAAATGGCAGCCCAATTTCAAGGCTGGGCTGGCTCTCAGATGGCCATTCTTCCTAAGGCCGGGTCTTGTTCAGAGGCCCTGTGTGTGTCAGTGCTGAGTGTCTGTGTAGACGGGTTTGTAAATGGTCACCTTTCTAATCATCATCCCGGCTCCCCAGGCTGAGGCTCTGGTTTGTTCTCTTCTGGTGGCTTCCAACATTAGTTCAGAGTCTCTTCCCAGGCCTCGCAGGCAGCCTTGTTATCTTCGTTGGGTTAAGGAAACTGAGTTTTAGCAAGAGTCAGCTTACCTCGCGTCACAAAGCTGACACGTGATGGCGTGCCTTGGCTTGCAATCCAAAGTATCTGGCTGGGCTCAGCGGAGCTGCCCGCCATGCAGCCCTTCCAAAGGCCTGTGCCTGGTCAATGACATCAAGGCACACCTGCAAGTTCAATGAGCTGTGCAGTTCCAGGCCCTGCTTGCTCTAGTCCTCTGCCTGAGTCAAAATGGTAGAGGCCCCTGCTTTGACCACTGGCTCCCCGGGGACTTCAAAGGGGCAAAGGTCACCTCTGCTCTTGGCTGCCAGTGCTAAATCAGTTAGTGATTCTGCAGGGTTCGAGGCTGAGAGGTGGAGCGGCTAGTCAGACAGAGGCTCCTGGGCCCCCGGCAGGCTTCTACCTCTCAGCTAGTTGGCGGGGGGAAACTTTGAGAATCGGTGACAAGACGGAGCCAGGGATGGACTGGTAAACTGTGGAAAGTCTTCCACACAAGTTAAGGCTGGTGTTTGAGGGGGGCACACGAGAGAAAGGAAAAACAAACCATCTGCAACCGCCCTCCATACCAACCACTCTCCTGCCATGTTGGTCTTTTAGGCCTTTCTAGATGTCCACAGTCCCCAGTTTGCTCAGGATGGCTTGTTTATGCCTATTAAAAATTAATATTCCTCAATTAGTCACTGCCTAGTCATTCGTGCTCAGAGAGGTGCTGCTCTGGGCAGGGCTGACCTGCTTGGAAACCTTTCCTTAGGCTAGCTCAGGCTTCCTCAAGTCTGTTCCACGAGTGTATGGGTGGGTCCATGGGTGGATATGAGTGTGGACATCTATGGTACCTGTGTGTGTAGTGAGTGTGTGCCTAGATGGGTGACATATGTGTAATATGGGTGTAAGTATGTGAAGTTCATGTGTGTGGTATCTGCACTGTGTGTAAATGGGTGTGGCTTTTGTGGACATGATGTCTGTGGTAGGTATGTAGATGTCTGGTGGATGTGTGCAGTTGCTGCGTGCATGTGTAATGGGTGTGTGCAGTTGCTGTGTGCATGTGTGATGGATGT